CAAGAATGGGTGTTATCGTTTTTTTTCCTCTTATCGTTTTTCCAACTAAAACCCACAGTTTACATATTTGCGGCGCGCCTAGACATGATTCTCTGGCGCGGGGTTATTATACAATCCCATTTCCTTTTTGCCTCGGGTTCCCGCAGAATAATGAGCCCTGGGTTCATACAGTAGGGGGGAAGGCCCATATGAATCAGGAGCGGAATTAGCTCCTTTCAAGGTTGGGGGTTTTAGGGTTTAGGGTTTAGGTAGGGTTTACGGAGATTAGGGTATAAGGTTTAGGGTAAGGGTTGAGGGAATTTAGAGTATAAGGTTTCGGGCTTAGGGTAAGGGTTTAGGAATTTTAGGGTATAAGGTTTAGGGTTAGGGTTTGGGGAGTTCAGGGTATAAGGTTTAGGGTAAGGGTCTAGGCATAGGGTTTAGGGTTTGCTAAGCTCCCAACTACTTCTGTTAGCTAGGTTCGTAGAGATTCGGGCTTCGGGCTCATGAAAGGCTAGCGAATTGGGTTTTGGGGATTCCCCAACACCCCAAAGCCTAAACCCTTTAAATCATCAATCCTAAGCCCTTCAAACCATGAACCCTAAACCCCAAAGCCAATTATAGGAGGTGGTCAATCATGTAGCCGCTTCTTGGCATCCTAAGCCCTGAGAATTTTTGCGAAATCCCTGCGAGGCTGCTTTGTCCCTCTCTGCCACAGTCCTCCTCGAAGCTTTTAACGAGATTGGCCGGAATCTCCTGGGCGTTTACTGAGTTGCTGAAACAAAGGCTTAGGGTTTAGGAATTAGGGTTTACGGCTTAGGATTTATGGTCAAGAGTTTCGGAATCATTGTTTACGGTTCAGGGTATCTGGGTTGGATTGGAGCCAAGCGCAGAGAAAGGTTGGGAATCTCCATCGGAAGCTATGCATATCAAGAAGCTGTACCAGCTCCTGAATCCTAACAATCTGTAGAAAAATCATCTTTGCTTAGCTTTACTCCTTATGTGGGTGTTGAGCCATTATCTTACCTTCTTTTGAGGTCCAGGCGCTTCCTCATAGGGCTTAGGCGTAGGTGGTGACGTGCGTTTCACCTGTCCATGTCAAACTTGCCCAGGTCAAGGGTGAAGGTCAGGAAGCCATGTGGCTCAAGCCACAGCACCACAAGAACAAGCACCCTGAATCTAACAAAACTCTAAGCGCTGAAGCCCAAAACCAAAACCCTAAGCCCGAAACCTTAAATCCTAAACCCTGAGCCCTAAACCCTAAAACCCCAAACCTGAATTTTCAATCAGAAGGCCTTGACAACTGCAGACCTAATCCCCAGAACCCAACCCTTAGTCGCCAGACAGGCGTAATCTTTACGGCCTTATGGATGGTACTGGCCAGTCAAAAAGCCGTAGCAATCTGCAGAACCATACCAGCTCTAGTCTGAATTCCTTTAAAGGGTTACATGGAGGAATATACAAGGGATTCTTATTAAGGGAAGCTAAGGGTAGACTAGGAGCTTAGACTATAGCCAAATATGAAGGTTTCCAAAACTTCGGGGGCCCTTTTTGGGGTCTGCATAATAAGAACTGCAGTACAGACGCATCTATAAGGGGGTCGCCTCTATAGTCCCTTGCCAAGCCCTAAACCCTAAGCCCTAAACCCTACGTATCCCTCAAAGCGTGCCCAGGCTCAATTCCTAGACGATCCTGGACCCCAGCAACCCTACATCCTAAACTCTGCGACCTATATTTTGAGGGTTTAGGGTTTAGGGCTTACCCTCAAACACTAAACCCCAACTCCCCATGTCCCCAACAGAAATGTGCATCCCTCAAAGCAGTCCTTAAAAGCCCTCCACTTCATGTGCCATTTTCTTTTCTATGCTTTGCCGTAAGCCCTAAACCACATGTAATAATACTGAAGCCCGAAATCCCATATAATCCTAAACCTTGTATAACCCTGACCCTAAACCTTGATATGACCCTTCACCCTGATTAAAGCCTGTATAACCCTAATCCCTATTCAAGCTTCACAGAACCTGGAACCCTATATAACACAGCCATTGATCCCCCAAAGTGCGCCCAGTTTCTCGCAAACCCTAAACCCTAAACCCTAAACCTAAGCCTTTAACCCTAAGCCCTTCACCCAAGAGCCTCAAGCCTAAACCCTAAGACCTCAACACTAAGCCTGAAACCCCAAACCCTCAGACCTCAATCCTAAGCCCTGGAGCCTAAACCCTAAGCCCTAAACCCGTAAACCCTAAGCCCTAAATCCTAAGCCCTAAACCCTGAGCCCTAAGCCCTAAACCCTGTAAAGCCTAAACCCTAAACCTTAAGCCCAGTTTCGATCTGCCCCACCAGGCGGCTGAGCTTGGACCTTGCGAACTGCGCTGCACTCTGCGCCTCCGCGATCTGCCCGCAGAAGACGATCTCACCTCATCTAAGGGGGTTGTATAAGGGATTATAGGGGTTTATATAGGGGTTATATAGGGATCATGGAAAGGAAAATGGAAACTACTATTTAGGGTTTAGGGTTTAAGGTTTAGAGTCTAAACTCCTTAAAGGGGGTTATATAGGGGATACTATAGCGAAGTATCATAGGGCTTATTAAGGGGG